TCCAAGATCAAGGTTAAGGCCATCCCCAGGGGATCCAAACGAACCACGGAATACCCCTTCCAATTGGTGCATATGGACTTGGTAGGGCCAATGAAACCCTCTGTAGGACATAGGAAGCGATTCTTCCTCACGATTGTAGATGACTACACCAGATACGGGTATGTCTACTCCCTCAGACACAAAAACGAAGTGTTCCAAAGGTTTAAGGAATTCCACAGAAGAGTAGATATGCAACATAACATGAAAATAAGGCAGATAATGACTGATAGGGGGTCAGAATTCATGGCCAAAGAATTCACAAGGTGGCTGAGGGAGCAGGGCATAGCGCATTACACCTCTTCACCTTTCTCTCCCTTTCAAAATGGAGTCTCAGAGAGAAAGAACGGAGTGTTGCAAACCATGATGAGATGCGCCCTGGAGGATGCTGGGATGGGGCAGCATTTCTGGTCAGAGGCAATACACTACGCTAATTACACCCTGAATAGACTGTGGTCAAGCTCTATCAATAAGACACCATACGAGATGCTATACAACAGAAAGCCCAACATTGCACATTTACACATATTCGGCGCCCCAGCTGATGTCCACATCCCCAGACAGCTAAGAAGAAAAGGGGAAAAATTATCAAAAAGGTTAAGGTTCGTGGGTTACGAACCGGGCACAAAGGGCTACAGATTTGTCGACAACAATAACCGTTTTGTGGTTTCCAGATCAGCCAGTTTCCACGAAAACGCAAACTGGTCGAGGGTACACTCCAACGACATCCCAGCCAATAGAGTCACGTTCGAGCATGGCCAAGAGGAAAGGGAGGTCAGAGAGGTCACAGGGCACAAGGCCAACCATCGCAAGACAAGCGTCAAAGGTTGGAAAGAAGGGCACTCTTCACTGAAGATAGATGACCTGACGGACAAAGAGGCAGACATCATGCAGGAGACCGAGCCAACCCCCAGTAGGCCAATCAGAGAAACCAGAAACAAGCTACCAAAGAAGCTAGAGGACTACGTTATGACCATCCACAACACCCATTTCACGCCCAGCTCATATGAAGACATCCTCGGGCTCCCCCGGGAGGAGAAAGAAAAATGGATGCTTGCCATGGAGAAGGAGATGGAAAGCCTAAAGGACCTTCAGGTATACTCACCTGCCCAAGTTCCAGAGGACAAAAAACCAATAGGAACCAAATGGGTGTTCAGGGTTAAAACATTAGAGGACAACAAGGTCCTATACAAGGCAAGACTAGTCGCGCAGGGTTTCGCCCAAAGATACCCCGAAGACTATACGGACACCTACTCGCCAACCGTCAGGGCAGAGAGCGTCAAGAGCGCCCTGGTGGTGGCCACCATCCTGGGCTTGGAGGTCTTCCAATTCGACGTACAAACAGCATACTTGCACGCCGAGCTGGATAAAGAAATATACGTCAAAGCCCCGCCTGGGTACAACAAAGACAAGAACCAAACCTGGCTGCTGAATAAAAGCCTGTACGGGCTCAAGCAGTCGGGCAAAAGGTGGTACGACTGCTTAGCCAAGGCCCTCAGATCCATGGGCTTCGAGGCCACCTCAGCTGACAAATGCTTCTTTACGAGGAGAGAAAACGACTCATTCGAAGGTGTGCTCGTTTACGTGGACGACATCTTGTACATCAGCAAGCACAAGGACAGGTGTGACAAGTTCGCCACCGACCTAGGTAGCCACTTCTCCTTAAAGTCACTTGGAAAGATTGACAGATACCTAGGGGTCCACGTGATAAAAACCAACAAGGGCTTCCGACTCTCCCAGAGAGAAAAGATCATCGAGCTGCTGTCCAAATGCAACATGTCCGAAGCAAAACCCAGCGAGACCCCCATGCAACCCGAGTTCCTGAAAACCATGTATGAGGAATCTGAACCCTTCACAGACAACAAACTATATAGATCAACGATAGGGTCACTGCTGTACATATCCAACTGGACCAGGCCCGACATCGCCTTGGCCGTCAACCTGCTGTCCAGACATGTAAGCAAACCTACGGTAACACACTGGAACGCCATCAAAAGACTACTTAGATACTTAAAATTTAGTGCAGATGCCCTACTCTGCCTAGAACCAGAAACATCCAAGGAACCAAAGCTGACCTGCTATGCTGACGCCGACTGGGCTGGGGACATAGAGTGCAGAAAAAGCACCTCAGGCTACGTGCTACTACTCAACAATTGCCCCATCCACTGGTACACTGGAAAGCAAAAACTGGTGGCCACATCAACCACGGAAGCAGAATTTGTTTGCCTATCAAAGGCCGCAAACAATTTAGTATGGTTCGATGACCTGCTCTGCGACATCTGGGCTGAACCCTCATATCCAATAGTTATCCACGAAGACAACAAGGCAGCGATAGAAATCTCTAGGGCCGACGCCATAGGTCAGCGTTCTAGGCACATTGACATTAAATACAAACACGTCAGGCAGTTTTCAGAGATAGGTTTCATTAAGGCAGTACACTGTGACACAGAGGAGCAAACAGCAGATATTCTCACTAAACCCCTACCACATAAACAACATGCTTACCTCATGTCAAAAATGCGTGTTTGCTTATAATTCATGCCTGTACCAGTGTATTCTCTGTATGTATGCTAACACCGCCTCAGGTACCCAGTTAGGCATTTAGAGGGGGTTTTGTCATGATAAAATGCCTAACTGCCATGTCTCCCTGATCCCCCGGACCCTCAAGGGTTAACTAACCACATATCCCATAATCCTTATAACCACTCCTTACCTCTTAACCCCTCCTCCTGGGTACAAAAGGTCCAACCGCATGGTCCACAGCTCATTCCAGATGTATACCTGAAAGAGAAAGGTACAAGGTCAGTGACCTCCAGTACCAACTGATCAACAATAAAACTACTGAAAAGAATTGGGCTATGTCTTTGAGTTATTGGGCTAGATCCAGTTTCTAACAGTATAGCATAAAAGTGTTACTTGAAAGGAACCAGAAAGTAGCAGCAAAAAACTATATAACTTGTAACCTGAGCTTACTGTATTTACACACATTAGTTGCATTTGGGGCAAAACAAATATGGCCCAAAGAAATTTCCTTTGCTCTCTATCAGCCTTCCTGTCCCACCTGAATTCAATATTTTTAAACTGTTTAATTAAAGAGTAATTACACTGGAAAAGCAAAACAAATTGTATTTATTTACAAGAGTGCAACTTGGACACTACCATTAACCATAAGACATTTGTAAAAATATTGAAATGCTACAACTAGCATTGTAGTTGTACAAAAAGGGTGAACCGGTAGCGGAGATGGCGGGTGGGCCTGCCCACTTGCCCCGGCACTATGCTGTCCTATTTAGCCACGTTTTTGTGGCTGGGCACATGTGCAGAAGGCACGCGTGAGAGCAAAACGCATGCATGGAAGGCCAGGCACATGCATAGAAGGCGTGCTCGCGATGCAAACATGTGCGCATTGGGCAAACCAGTGGTAAAAATCTTTGAAACCCACCTCTGGTTGGGAGGGTGCCTTTTAGGCGGGATGTATTTCTAAGAATCCTGCAGGTCCAAAAATTCTGCCTACTCACCTTTTCTTGCTAAATTCCATCATCTGGAGTGGGGATCTATGACTTCTGGGGGTCCCCCACCATCCTCTCAGGGATCCAAAACTATTTGCCAGCCTATGTTGAAAAATAATACAATATTAAAATCCCATCAAATAATTCTGAGAAGTGGTAGTGGCAGCCAATGCACCAATTTGAATGTGTAATACTAAAAAGTATAGATAAATATAACCCATACGAACAAAAGCTTTCTTGGGGTCCTTATTTTTAAAAGTGGGAAGGAGTCCTGAGATAGAAAAGTGTAAGAAACACTAGCCTAGCACAATGTTCTCCAATCTTGGCAACTTCTAGATGTATGTTCTTCTATTCCAGTCAGCCTGGCAATTGCTGAGAAATGTTGGAAATGAAATCCACATATTTAAAATTTGTCCAGTTTTGGGAAAAGACCTGATAAGAATTATTTGGAAAAATTCATGATCAGATTTTCCACATTGTGTATGGAATTGTGGTTTTTAATAAATTGAAAACAAGTTACCAGTAAGTCAAGCTCTGGCAAGGCAACAGAACATTATTTTTCTGATCAAAATTGATGCTCATTTTCCATTCTGGGAACTCCTTATAATAATTCCATGCTGATGAGGAAAAAGCTTTGGATTTCCAAGTCTATGCTGTTTGAGAGCTGAGCTAATTTTTTGAAGTCACTGTGGCTCTGGAAAATCTGCATGGACTTTAGAAGATCTTGATTGGGTTCAAGATTCAAGATTTGATTAGGAAGGAGTGATTTACCTCAAACTCACTGACTAGTACCAACACATGTTCGAACACTCATGCGCTTCTCTGTACACATTCAGAAATAGCAGTAAACAAATTCATATTCTTTACTGTGCTCCTTCTGAAATCTGTCCTTTTGGCTGGTCATCCATAGTGGTAGTTGTAGTAATATTAGTAGTAATAGTAATGCTACTTACCTTTCCATTTGAAGGAAAGGTGACATATAGGTTGCAATCCTATACTGTATTTGCTATCTAATGTATTTAATGGGATTTATTCTTGAATAGAAGGTTGCTCTGTGAATCCACTAAATAATGCTGCCAGAAACAACAGCAAATTCAATGATTATATATAAAAATATTAAGACAAATTCCTTGTGTCACACTTGGCCAATAAAGAATTCTATTCTATTCTATTCTATTCTATTCTATTCTATTCTATTCTATTCTATTCTACTCTACTCTACTCTACTCTACTCTACTCTACTCTTGTTCTATTCTATTCTATTCTATTCTATTCTATTCTATTCTATTCTATTCTATTCTATTCCTATTCCTATTCCTATTCCTATTCCTATTCCTATTCCTATTCCTGTTCTACTCTACTCTACTCTACTTTGTTCTGTTCTGTTCTGTTCTGTTCTGTTCTGTTCTGTTCTATTCTATTCTATTGGGTTAGTGAATTTATAAACAAGGAGATAACAGTGACCCTCAGTAACAAATTGAGAAACAAGATCATCACCATCAGATGATGGTGACATCATGACAGCTTCCATGTATTAGGAGTGAGCTCATCTCAAGAAGCCCAAACATTGTGTTATTTTTAGAAAAAAAGAAAAGTATCAACTTGGCTCTGAAACTCATGTTTTGGTTTGCTTTTCTGCTATACTGTTAAATATCAGGATGAAGACATCATTTTGTTATTATTCTGAGTGTAATCCATGGAACAAGATTCAAATGACTTCAGAAGTTATGATTGGGTATATTTATTTCTCTTCTGCCAGCCCAGCTTTCAAAGTAGTTGTAGGTTGGACGAAAGCGAGGCTTGTTTCAGCACTTGTCGACTCTCTCCTTTTATCAGTTTCTCATGGATGAATTCCAGCCACTGCTTGCTCTCCTTGGAGGCATCTGTTGTTCCATTTTCCTGCTAAAGTGCATTTGGTTTTTGAAGTATTTTCTTCCTTACATATGGAATATTTTGCCTCCATCTTATTTTCGTTCAATGGGAGAATGGGCAGGTAAAGGCACCTTTGCTATTCTTATATGCCAATGTGGAGGGGAAAGATATTAGATATTTCTAGCTCAGTGCTAGAAAGTCCGTTTTCCATAAGGCTTATCTCTGAAAGCCTGGAGAATTCGGGAGAGAGATAGGAACTTGTTTCATTGTTCTAATGCATTGCTACAGGGTTCCTTTCATTTTCTTTTTTTACTGCAGCACATAGCAAATGATTTCCCTTTCTTTGGAAAATGTTTAAAACGAGCAAGTAATGGCTTGGAATCCAACTGGCTATTTGTTTGTGTTATGCAATTTCATAATATTTTTAATACTAAATGTTCTGCTTTTCAAGAATGCAATTGCTATTTTGTGCGTATGTGTGTGTATATTTTTATTCCAGAATGATTCTGTCCTCATTTTTTAGATGCAAATAATTTTTCTCTTTCCTGGACTGTAGTTCTTTAATGGTGGGATGAATCACAGAATAAGACTGGAATTTTAACCATTAATGATAAGTGTCTTAGATCACCTGTAAACATGTACGGTAATTGCCATTCTTGGGAAGAGATTCTTGGTGGGATTTATATTCTTTGGTAGAGGGAGAAGGATTGGATGAGAAGACATAAAAGATTAAGAACCACTGGCTGTTGTTGTTATTTTTTAATTTCTCATTAGAATCTGCAAGTATCTTCAGCAGAAAAACAAACAAACAAACAGCTTATCTTATTAGAACTTGGTAGGCTTGTATCACAACCATACTAGGCTTATGACTGCTGAACTGCCCCATGTTTTCTTTTTCCTAATCTCTTACAATTTTACACAGGGGTATTTTTGTATGAAACTTTGCTACATCACTGCAAAGTAGACTCTTGGAAGGAAACAAATATAAGCAGTATAAGCACTGCAAAATTAATTTGCAGTCCTAAGTGCCCTCTCCTAGGATCAAGTCTTACTGAAAGCATGATATTCTGATGTTCAGGAATTAAGAAAAATTAGAGCATTTGTAAAGATGTTATTTGCTATGTCTATATAAAATCCCCTCGAATTCATCAATATTTATTTTTCAGTGAAAAAGGACAGATTTTTTACTTTTAGATATATGATTGGATATCTTATTCCCATATTTTCTATAAACAATATTTTCTCAATTATGCACTGAATTTCTATAGTATTGTATAGCTTCTAGCTTAGATATGTTATTATATCCAGGTGAAGAATTTTCAATGAATTTTTACTGAGTCCATATCTTTCTAAAACAGGATCCAGAAAATTAAGTAATAATTTACTTTCTCCTGACTTTTGGTATTCAGACTTTTACTACTTTTAAGACAATGTCTGCCTTTAATTTCAAACTCTTTTAAAGTACAATCTTTTGAGTAACTTTAATTTCATTTTTCCACTTTCCAGCAGGTATAGCCTTGGCTGCAATTTAAAGAGATTTTAGACAAGCAATTTGATCAATGCGTATCATAAAACCAAATCACCAAATTCCCCATTTGCTGCTTTCCATGCTGTTTCAAAACTAATGTAATAAAAACTCTGTTCTAATATAAATTAGGTCAAATGCATTTGCTAGGCCCCTACCTGTCTTACTTCTGAAGATGAAAGTGAGAGAGAAATATATATTAAGATGTATAAAGGGAATAAGATAGTTAAAGATTATATTCTTTTTCTTTTAGTGGTCACTGGAGCAGGAGATGGAATTGGAAGAGCCTACTCCTTAGAGGTAGTAAACATGTACTTCATGATCAAATATTTTGGGCTCAGATAGTTTAGAATACATTCTTATATGCTTTGTAAATAGTTTATCATTAATACTGTGCCAAAATTCATGTTCCAACTTCTTGAAAGATTTTTTTTTCCTTGCCAAAGAGGTGTCAGGTTTTTTATTTTTTACTTTATTGCTGGAATGTCAATGTTATAGTTACAAAGGGGTAGCCAAAATGGTATTTGTGGTTATATATCATTCCACCAATCTGTCTACCACTCTGGTACATATCCATGCATCCAACTGAGTGGTAGAAAAAATAAGTTCCCCTTTTCTTCGGATTTAATTGATATCTGGGAACAAGGGAGGCTACAGTTCACTGGCAGGATGGTGGCAGAGTGGAAGATTTGCCGTTCAACCACACTGCTGAAGGACAACATAAACTGACCCTGCCCCAACCATGAGAATTAATCTAAATGTCCATTTGCATTGGATTATTTTATAAAGACTAATTTCTTTTCCTCCATTTGCATAAGAGTAAAAGATAAAGGTATCTCTGTCGAATCATGTTTGAGTTTAGGGCACAGTGCTCACCTCCATTTCTTGGCCAGCATTGTCTGAAGACAATTTCCATGGTCATGTGGCCAGCATGGATATATGCCAAAGGTGCATAGAATGCTGTTGCCTTCTCACCGAAGTGGTACCTATTAATCTACTCACATTTGCATGCTTTTGAACTGCTGGAATGGGAGCTCACCCTGTTGCGCGATGCCTGGTCTTGAACCTGAGTTCAAGCTCAATGTCTTTAATCGCTGAGTCATCATGTCCCCTCTTGCATAAGAACAGGCATACAAAAGATACTTTAAAAAATAATTTACTTTAATACAGGGATAAACCATTGCCTACAATAATTATCTCGGTTCGGAACAATTTGATACAAACAGACTGTGTTCTGCATGATAAAGATTTCTGTGGACATTACTAAGCATGGCTTCAAATCCAGGAAGTGAACTGAGTTCTTTGTCAATAAATTGATAGTATCATCAGATGTTTCCGTGGCATCAAATTCCAGGGGATGAGATGAAAGCAGTGATGGGATTCCGCCAGTTCGCACCACTTCGGGAGAATCGGTTGTTAACTTTCTGAGCAGTTTGGTGAACTGGTTGTTGGAAGAAATCATTAGGGCAGAGAACCAGTTGTTAAATTATTTGAATCCCACCACTGGATGAAAGCCACCTGTTTACACAGAATATTGCTATTCCAGCTGAAGGAAGTTTATTTATTTATTAGTCGCATTTCTATGCCGCCCAACTCCCTAGGGACTCATAAATTGGGACCTATGTGTGATGGATCACACCAAACAACAAACCAGTGAAAACTCAATATGCTTCTTTCGTAGATCTAACACTAAGTTTTATGATGCCATATTTTTAAACCAGGAAAGAAAAAGTATTTTGAGTAGTCACCCTATAATATATATAACCTTGGATATTCTAGTTTACAGAGAAGAGAATTTTGAGATCATTTTTGTAACACAGTCATACAAAGATTGATGAATTGTTGATTTGCAAAAATACTTTTGACTTCTAGAAACCACATTGATTTTCTCCATGAACTCATATAGACAGAATGTATTAAATTTTACACAGTAAGTATGTGAAGATACACCCACAATCACCCATGCTCAATTCTTCTAAATGGTGGGATTGGCTTTACAGCATTTAAGTATGCTTTTTAGGATCATTTAGGAGATGCTCCATTAATTCAGCATACAATTTTAAATATTGCAAAACTTTGTCTTTCAGCTTGCCAAGCATGGGTTAAATGTGGTTCTCATAAGTCGGTCATTCAAAAACTTGGAGAAGGTAGCCTTGGAAATTGGTAAGTTTCTAAAAAGAAGGAACTTTGCCCATTATGTCTCATGTTCACATTGTAGCCTCACAGCAGAATAATTCTTTATTAGAATGAAGTAAACAATGAGAAAGCCTTCAAGTCTAATCAGACTGAAGGTTACATTTAGAGGAAGAGAATAGAGAGAAAGAACACTGGTTTAATATTGCATGCAGAAAGCTTTAAGTTCTACCAGTAGAATCATGCCTGGATAGAGAGATGCAAGACTTAATTCTGTTAAGTTCAAATAAAGTGCAATTGTGGAATTTTATTTTAGTTTTTAAATGAACCAACATGGCTTCCTGTATAATATTATCCTCACATTCAGTCCGGAGTTGGGACTAGCAGTTCATTAACACTGTGGGTTAAGTGCAACATCACTTGACCATAATTTGCAACTTCCTGCCGGCTTCCTTATTGACTTTGCTTGATGGAAGCATTTGCTTGATGGAAGCAAATGGTGATCATATGACTGTGGGGGTAATGTGACCATCGTAAATGTGTGCCAATTGCCAGAATTGTGATCCAGTGACTGCAGGGACATTGTGACAGTTGCAACTTTGAGGCCAGGTCACAAATCATCTTTTTCAGCTCCATTGTAATTTCAGTCACTGACTAAACAAATGGTCAGAAAGCGAGAACTACATGTATTATGTTTCAAATGTCATTGTGATCAATAGATCAAAATAATGCATTATATTGTTCTAAGGCTATTTTTATTGAACTAACGTCATCAATTAAAGAAACCTTGCAACAGCAGTGGAGCACTATATCTTTCTCAAGAAAATGTTACTGAATCTAATACCAAAACACCATAAACTGCTGGATGACAAAAATTGATTTATTCATGGCATAATATATGATCACTTTGTGTCTTGCTTACTAAGAATTTGACCAACATTTATTAATACTAAAGCTTGTATGCTAATTCATCTGTTAATCTCTAAGATAAACAAAATTTGTGTAGTTTTTCCTAAAATAAGATTTTAGTAAAAGTTACAATAAATTTTGGAAGCTGCTTCTTATTCATTGTGTGACTTCCAGCACTGGATATGAATATCTGATATTAAGTCGTATAGTAACTGTTTTCCAGTCTTTCTGCCATTCTTATAAACAGCAAACTGGCTCCAAATATATTTAAATGGATGTAACATTCCAGGTAAAGTCCCTGTTTTCATGTGCTCATAGATTTAATCTATTTAAATTTAATACAACTATAGGGGGGAAATAAATTAATATAAAAACCCCTCCTTCTCCTTCATGCAGAACAAACGACTCAGAGAACTGTGAAAATCATACAAGCTGACTTCACAGAAAATGACATATATGAAAAAATTGAAGAAAATCTTCAAGGATTAGAAATTGGAATTTTGGGTAAGTTAACCAAAAATAGAAAAATGAAGTTACCAGAAATTAAACTGGTTCAAAGAGATGTTTCTTTTTATGAATTTGTTAAATGTAACCATTTTTAAAAAAACATTAAAACTCTGGTAAAGTTTTTTAAAAGTCATCCATCAATAAAAGCAACCAGTGACAAGTGTATAAGAATTTAATTTTTAACCACTACTTTGGTTGGAGATACTAATAAAAACAAAACAATTTTTTTGTCAGTTGCCCTTTTTACCTTTTCCCTATACAGGAGAGTGTTACCTGTCCAGAGTCAGAAATCTCCGTTCTTCTGACTCTGATGGACCAAAATCCCACAAGCACTACACCTTGCTAAGATTGAGTCACAGCCAGCTTCTTCCTATTCAAGGCCTTACAAGAGAGGTCTTCAAACTTGGCAGCTTTAAGACTTGTGGACTTCAACTCCCAGAATTCTGGGAGTTGAAGTCCACATGTCTTAAAGCTGCCAAGTTTGAAGACCTCTGCCTTACAACCTCCTCAGCATCTGATGAGCATCACTTGCCTAGCATGGGGTAGAAATATATAATTTGATATCATCCACACATTAGCTTACTGATACCAAATCCCATGTTGATGAATGACCTCTATCAGTGGCTTCTTATAAATTAGAAAGAAAGAAAGAAAGAAAGAAAGAAAGAAAGAAAGAAAGAAAGAAAGAAAGAGAGAGAGACTTGTGTCATTAAATTGAGGACCCAGTTGTGGGGGCAATAAGCTGACTTTGTACAAATATACAAAAGAATGAAGGCTATTGCTTAGCGCATTGTAAGCCGCCCTGAGTCTCCGGAGAAGGGCGGCATATAAATCAAATTTTAAAAAAAATTAAAAAAAATACCCCACATAATAGGGGCTCAGGATTGGACCTCTCCTCCCCACTAGCATTGATTGCTACTGACCACAGAGAAAGGAGGAGAATCACTGCTGAATAGTGTCCTCCACTCTCAGTTCCTGGAGCTAATTCAACAAGGTCAATAGTATCAAAAGCCACTGAGAGATCCAGAAGAACCAGAAGGACTGTATCACCCACATCCAGAGCTCTCCAAAAGTTGTTGATATATGTCACCAATCAGTGGTGAAATCCAAATTTTTTTACTACCGGTTCTGTGGGCATGGTTTGGTGGGTGTGGTGTGGCTTGGTGAGCGTGGCTTGGTGGGTGTGGCAGGGGAAGGATACTGCAAAATCTCCATTCCCACCAGACTCCAGAGGAAGAATACTGCAAAATCCCCATTTCCTCCTGATCAGCTGGGACTCGGGAGGCAGAGAATAGATGGGGGCGGGGCCAGTCAGTGATGGTATTTACCGGTTCTCCAAACTATTCAAAATTTCCGCTACCGGTTCTCCAGAACTGGTCAGAACCTGCTGAATACCATCTCTGAGTGTGTGCATTTTCTATGCAGCGGCTACTTCTGGCTAATAGGTCAAGCTCTGGACTTCTTGTTCTATTGTGCCTGCACTGCCATTCCCTCATGACATCATTTCTTGTGCCTTTTGCTCTGCCAGCTAGACCAATTTTGAACAAGGTGTGGCATGGTGTGGCTTGGTGGGCGTGGCTTGGTAGGTGTGGCAGGGGAAGGATACTACAAAATCCCCATTCCCTCCACACTCCTGGGGGAAGGATATTGCAAAATCTCCATTCCCACCCCACTCTGGGGCCAGCCAGAGGTGGTATTTGCCAGTTCTCCAAACTACTCAAAATTTCTCCTACCGGTTCTCCAGAACTTGTTGGATTTCACCCTTGCTACCAATGCTGCTTGGTACTATAGCTCAGCCTGAATCAGGGCTGAAAAGCATCAGCCATTACTCAGCAAAACATTGTGTGTGATAGTTTCTCTTCTTGTATTCTTTAAATTTACATACTGTTAAATTATCATCATCAGATAGACGTGGTTGATCTGACATTAGTGTTATTAGGAAACAACAGTCAAGAATCATGTTTATCTGAATGGATTCTGTGTATTCTCTATCTTCAGAAAAAAGCAACTTCAGTCAGGGTTGGGAACCTATTATAGGGAGTTTGTTATTTCAATAAAAAAGGCAAGGGCATAAATGGTTTGGTCTCTCTCTCTCTCTCTTTTTTTTTTTCAGCAGTGAAAAATAGAGCTTTGCCTTTTAAAAATGCCAATACAACTTAGGAGGCAGGGGGCTCTGGAGACCAAAAGAGTGGGGCTTTGGGCTGCATGGGATCCAGAGGCCCTAATTGTTCCACCATACTTCATGATTCTAATTTGCTTTCTCCACCCTTTTTTTTTTATTAGTTAACAATGTTGGAATGCTACCTAATCGCTTTCCGTGCCATTTTCTTAATATTCCAGACAAAGATGAGGTAAGGATTCTTCTATAATAGTAATAAGATCGTGTATTTGGTTTTTTCCACACAAAATGTACTATCAGCCACGCTACGTAGAACAGACCAGAGAAACAAACTCCACAGGGACCATAAAATTATACTTTATTTAGTTGAGCTATAACATAGAGCATTATAAACTCAACCGTGCTTTACTACCCCTCCTTCTTATACTCTAGCATTCAAGGTTGAGCCTCTTCCCAAATATTACCTTGTTTATCAGGGCTTAAAGAATGTTTCAGGTAATAGCTCTTGTATATTTCTATTGTGATCATCTCCCATATTCTCTAAAATCCTGATCATTTCCCATATTCTCTAGAATACGGGACTAAGTTTTGTTGAAGTAAACAGGTAGCCAATAATCAAGTTTTCTAAATTTGATTGACCCTTGATTCACATTTGAATTATTTTTTTATGAAGTTTTGTGTCAAGAAGCACTCAACCTGGCAGGGAGGAGAGTTCAAGCGTAGAGTAAGCCTGGATTCACTATACAAATGCCAAAGGGCTAGGACTGACTCCTACTAATTTCCTTGGAGCCTTATCTATTTGTTCCCAAGAGAAGACTTCTAGTCTGGGGAGATTCCTGTATTATAGGCAGAGCACAATAAAGTAGTTATTTTGAACTGTACATGTGTGGGTCTGGTTCAGTGGTGAAATCCAAATTTTTTTATTACCGGTTCTGTGGCCATGGCTTGGTGGGCGTGGTGTTGCTTGGTGGGTGTTTCTTGGTGGGCGTAGCAGGGGAAGGAGACTGAAAAATCTCCATTCCCACCCCACTCCAGGGGAAGGATACTGCAAAATCCCCATTCCCTCCCCACTCCTGGGTTCAGTGAGAGGTGGTATTTGCCAGTTCTCCGACCTACTCAAAATTTCTGCTACCGGTTCTCCAAACTACTCAAAATTTCCGCTACCGGCTCTCTAGAACCTGCTGGATTTCACCCCTGGTCTGGTTGTTCTTGTCTGACATTTTGACTAGACTCAAACATGCATTTCTGGACACAATTGGATGTTTAAGGAAATGTAATGGAATATCACAAAATGGTTGTTTTGGATTGTAGGCAGTCAAGATGTTTATTTCTGCAGCAAAATACCAATTTTATAGAAAGGAAAAATGTTAAATTGGGGAAGATTGACTTATGCTACATACAAACCATCATGCTGAATAATGTTTGGCTTATCCTATATAAGCAAATTAATCCTCATGAAATAGGAAGGCTCATGCAGCCCTGGTGGGAACAGATTTTTAAACATCTCATTCTAGAAACTGAGGTCAAACTGAATTTTCTGAGCATATTGTTCTCTTCAAATCAGCACAACTGCCATGTAACCCATTTATTATTTTCAACAGGACCTCATTAATTGCAACATCATGTCTATCATTAAGGTATGTATTACAGACCAGGACAGCTCTTTATGTTTGTTTGCCAAAAAGTAAGGTATAACATTTGAACTGAATGCAAAGAAATACAGACATTGACAATGTCTGGCTTTCTGGGCTGCAATTCATTGTCATCCCACAGACTAAGGATGATACTTACACAATTCTTCTCCTTCTGTTGTATCATTTGCACCCAAGAGTTTTCTGTTCCTCCACTTTGCCTTTATGCTGGTTCCCTTCCTCTTTGGATGTTGAAACATGACATTAGAATGGGTATCCACCTAGGCTAGCTAAACAAAATTTCTGATAGCAAAACAAAATTTCTAAAGCTAGACATATCAGTTTTACTTTCCCATCACATCATACAATCAAAAGAATTTTAGTGGTAAATATGTGAAAACAAGTATATTAGTGTCTTTGCTTATCATTTAGCTATAGGCCAGTGATGGCGAACCTTTTCGGCACTGAGTGCTCAAAAGGTTGAGTGGAAACGTCGGGGCCACTCTCCGGAAAAGCCAAACTTCCAGGTTCTAGTGTGCATGCACGCCCGATGATCAGCTGGCCAGCGCTCATGTGCAGGCCAGTTTTCAGCACTGCCGTGTGCACGAAGGAATCACGCTCCGGAAAAGCCAAACTTCCAGGTTCTGGCGCTCATGCACACCAGTCAATCAGCTCGCTGGAGTGCATGCACAAGCCAGTTTTTGGCACTGCCATGCGCGCAAAAAACAGCTGATCGTCGCGCACGCATGCATGCCAGAAACCCAGAAGACAAACAGGCAAGGCTGCGCGTACCGGGGACATGGCTTCATGTGACACTTTGGGCACGCATGCCATAGATTTGCAATCACAGATATAGGCAATGTAGGAAAGTATATAGACCTATAGTGACACAATTTCTCACAATGTGTTCTGACCTAGGCCTCCTAAGTCAGTAAAACATACGAGTAGTCTCAAAAACCTCTTTTATTGCAACAGCTGTGAATTCTGTTCATTCACAGATGAGTCCCAAATAGTTGTAAAGAGTCCTTTGGGATAATCACCCACCTTTATCTTCCTTGACACGCTGCCAAAGACCTAATTGGCAAAGCCACACAGAGTCTAGAATTAAACAGACCTTAAACTGCACAGAATTAACGTTGTTTTCTGCAAAGGCTCATGTGCCTTTGCTCCTCTTTTAAGTCTTATGGGAGGGGCCAATTATCTCCAAGCTCTACTCCCGAGTCATCCCTTTTGTTTTAACTGTTCTTGCCTTCTGGCAGCTCTGCGCACGCACACACTGGGAACAGGCTCCCCCTGTTCCTCTGCCTCGCTGAGGTCTGGCTCTGGAGGCTCTGGAAGCAGCACTTACCTCCCAGATGGCCTTTTCTCTGCCTCTGATGCAAAGCCCTGGTCCGAGCTTTCCCCAGACTCCAGGACTGAACCATGTTCCTCCCCAGCCTCCTCACTGTCCGACTCTGCTGCCAGCTCTGCAGGCTACTGGCAGACCACAACACAATGTTCTTTTTAAAACAAAGTGGGTTTAGCATTTAGTTCTTCACTCTTGCCCTGGCAAAACTAGGATTTCTTTCTTAACAATCTGGGACAACAGTATATCTTGAACTGATATAAGTTCATTGCAGTTTTATCTAATAATATGATACTAAAGCCTTTGCTACCACATTTCCTTCTGAGCTATCAGGAAAAGCTGCTTAAGCTTTGTGTTTACAACTTATCTCAAACATCTTTAAGTGGTATCAAAAAATTTTTCCCCCTGAACATAATCTGACAGCTGCTGCTTTGATATATATTCAAACACTTTTGTTGATTCAAACCAACAAAAACAAACCAACAAAAAAGATGCAAAATATTTTGGTTGCTGTATGCATTTCTTAATAGGCCCTGATTTTAAATTGGACAAATTGTCAAAAATACCATTCAGTGCAACCTCAACAGAGATAAGGAACTGGACCTTCCCACATTGGCAAGTCTGTTTTTTTGACTTAACTGATTTTTATTTCTAGTAAGAAAAATATGGAGGAAAATCTGAATGTTATAAGCAGATAATAGCTGCATAACAAAAGCCTTACCTGGAACTGTTCATGGAAAACTTTGATTATCACTTCTCATTTGTTTACTTTAACAAGATGTAAGAGGGTTTTCTTGCTACTTGAATCCATATTTTTTAAGACGGAAGGCACATTTGAAATGATGAGAATACAAGTAGTCCTCAACTTACGATCAGCTATTTAATGACTGGTCAAAGTTACAATGAATTTAGAAAAGACTACTTATTTCCTTTCCTCGAAGTTATGACTGCTGTGCATAGTCCAGCCATGTGGTTGCATTTTGGGCATTTGGCATTCAGCTTGCATTTACGTCCTTCATGGACGTAACAATTCTATGAATGTTTTCAGGCGGTGAAGCAGGGGTGAAATCAATTTAACTTCTCTACTGTTTCGGAAGTGTGTGTGCTGCATGTGTGTGATTTTGGACCCTCTGCAGGTGCACAAAGCCTTCTGCGCATGCACAGAGGGTAAAAAAACAGGTTACTTCCTGGTTAAAACCAGGAAGTAACAATGTCCAGGTGGGTGGGTGGAGCCTCATGCTGCCGCCACTACCGGTTCTCCAAGCCACCTGCCACAGCTGCTACTGGTTCGCCCGAACTGGTGCTTTATTTCAAAAGGAAAGGGAAAAAAAGTCTCTCTCTCTCTCTCTCTCTCTCTCACTCTCTCACACACACACACAAACACACACACACACACACACACACACACACAGAGTCAATATCTAATTTGGGACATCCGTATGTTTAGGGCATTGCAATGACTATATTGCCAAACTTTGCTGAATTTTCTCAAACAAGCTATGAGGTGTAGTTTTAATTATCCTTTTTTTTTTTTTAGATGACGCGAATTGTTTTGAAACAAATGGTGGCAAGGTAAAGCAATTTTCCACATTATAATTTATTTATTTATTCTTTTCTTCAGGAAAGTTTTTCGATTTTGATGAACCTTGGGCTGATTTGGGTTGACATAAATTACATCTTTTTCCAGAGTACTGCATAGTTGCAAACTAGATATTAGATCATATCACAGGGTCAACTTAGGCAGCCCATCCCATATCATAGAAAGAATGTTCCATGGCAATTCTCTTTTGCCCATAAATTAAGCAACTGAAACTGCTAATGAATTCAAATTCACCAGGTATTTGAATCAATTAGTTAATGTTATTTTAGCAGTTTGCAGGTTGGCCTTGAAAGATATACATTATGACAGGGGTTTTTTATTGTGGATTTCTCCATACATCAAAGGAAACAGAGAGATCTTGCAGTCCTTGTCTTAAAAGGTAAAGGTTCCCCTCGCACATATGTGCTAGTCGTTCCCGACTCTAGGGGGCAGTGCTCATCTCTGTTTCAAAGCCAAAGAGCCAGCACTGTCTGAAGACATCTCCGTGGTCATGTGGCCAACATGATTAAATGCCAAAGGCGCACGTTACCTTCCCACCAAAAGTGGTGCCTATTTTTCTACTTGCATTTTTTACGTGCTTTTGAACTGCTAGGTTGGCAGAAGCTGGGACAAGTAATGGGAGCTCATCCCGTTACGCGGCACTAGGGATTTGAACCACTGAACTGCCAATCTTTCAATCGACAAGCTCAGCATCTTAGCCACTGAGCCACCGCATCCCAAGTCCTTGTCTTATATGAGTGTAAATACTTGTTAGCTCAATGAAATGCCATAAATCTTTAGTGGTCTAAGAAAATTGAGCTTAGGTAAGTATTGGCGTCTATGAAACCTGAGTAAGCATATTAGTTTAGTCCATGCAAGATACCTAAAAGTTATTTTCATTTTAAATTTCAGAAAAAAAGGTCTAATTCTTAACCTTTCATCAGCCATTGGCACCTTTCCTTGTCCTTTATATACAATATATTCTGCATCTAAGGTATGGTTTGAATTTTTTTTGTATTTCAGATTTTATCTATTGTTATCGGTTTTATGAGACTAAAAAAAAATACCTTGTCATAGTGGGGTTAGGCTTCCCTAAAGGGAGATCTGAACAGCTGTGCGATGTTCCTGATATTCTTTTCTAAAAGCTAAAATCAGACATACTCCCATTACAAGGCTGTGATGAACCCTGCAAAGGTTATTCAAAGCCCTGATGTTAGAAAAACTGGAAAACCAAAGAAAAAATGGGTTTTTTTCTCTCATGAACTGATGAAATAGGAACATAGGACAATGTCCTGTCAGCCCATGTACACATTTATTTATTAGATTGCTAGCAAACATTAAGCAAGATAAAAAAAAAAGGCAGAAACTTTGTCTAAAGTATTTTTGTTTTAATCCCAAATTACTTTTAAAAAAAGTTACCAGAAAACTAATATAATTTGTCCAAAACAGGAAGGGGAGAAGTGGTTAAACTGTTTTATTTTGAGCTGTTTTATTTTGAGCCATTTAATCTTTTGTCCCCATTATTATGATAGCAAGCTTGTTTATCTGTCCAGTTCTTAAATTATTATTCTTTTTTCAAATATTTATTTGGAATACCTGAACATGTTACTTATAAAAATAATCAAGCAACGAATCACCGAACACCTAGAAGCAAACAAAGTAATAACCAAAAGCTAACATGGGTTTGTCAAAAACAGATCATTCCAGACTAATTTTATTGCATTCTTTGACAAAGTGACAAAATTAGTGGACCAGAGGAATGCTGTCGATATAATTTACTTGGACTTCAATAAAGCATTTGATAAAGTAGACCATAACCTACTATTAGGTAAAGTAGAAAAATGTGGGTTAGACAGCATCACCACCAGATGGATTCGTAACTGGCTGACCAACTGCACTCAACATGTAATCCTCAATGGACCTGCATCTACATGGAGGGAAGTATGCAGTGGAGTACCCCAGGGTTCTGTTTTAGGCCTAGTGCTCTCCAACATCTTCATCAATGACTTGGACGAGGGGATAGATGAGGAACTCATCAAATTTGCAGAATACACCAAGCTGGCAGGAATAGCCAACACTCCAGAAGATAGGCTCAAGATACAGAAGGATCTTGACAGACTTGAACATTGGGCGCTATCTAATAAAATGAAATTCAACAGTGAAAAAAGTAAAGTTCTATATTTAGGGAAGAAAAACAAAATGCACAGGTACATATATGTGGTACCTTGCTTAACAGTAGTAACTGTGAGAGGGAACTTAGAGTCCTAGTGGACAACTATTTAGATATGAGCCAGCAGTGTGCAGCAGTTGCCAAAAAAGCCAACATAGTTCTGGGCTGCATAAACAGAGGGATAGAATCAAGATCATGTGAAGTGTTAATACCACTTTATAATGCCTTGGTAAGGCCACACTTGGAATATTGCATTCAGTTTTGGTCACCACGATGTAAAAAAGATGTTGAGACTCTAGAAAGAGTGCAGAGAAGAGCAACAAAGATGATTAGGGACTGGAGGGTAAAACATATGAAGAATGGTTGCAGTAACTGGGTATGTCTAGTTTAATGAAAAGAAGGACTAGGGGAGACATGATAGCAGTGTTCCCATATCTCAGGGGTTGCCACAAAGAAGAGGGAGTCAAACTATTCTTCAAAACACCTGAGGGTAGAACAAGAAGCAATGGGTGGAAACTAATCAAGGAGAGAAGCAACTTAGAACTGAGGAGAAATTTCCTGACAGTTAGTGTTGGTTATCACCTTCAAAGCGCTCCATGGCATAGGGCCTAGCTATCTCCGAGACCGCCTGCTGCTACCGACGACCTCCCATCGACCCGTGCACTCCCACAGAGTGGGCCTCCTCAGGGTGCCATCAGCCAGACAGTGTAGGCTGGTGACCCCCAGGGGGAGGGCCTTTTCTGTGGGGGCACCTACCCTCTGGAATCAGCTCCCCCCAGAGATAAGGAGAATCCAGGACCTCAGTGCCTTCCGTCGTGCCCTTAAAACCTATTTTTTCAAGCAAGCCGGGCTGGCTTAAGATGAAATTTTTAATTGTTTTTAAATGTTTTAAATGTTTTAATTGGTAATGAGTTTTAATTGGGCCAAATTTATATATCTTTTAATTGTTTTTTAATATTTGTCCTGCATGTTTTTTAATTTTGGCTGTACACCGCCCTGAGTCCTCAGGGAGAAGGGCGGTATAGAAATTCAATAATAAATAAATAAATAAATAAAAAATAAGTGGAACAACTTGTCTGCAGAAGTTGTGAATGCTCCAACACTGGAAATTTTTAAAAAGATGTTGGATAACCATTTGTCTGAAGTGGTGTAGGGTTTCCTGCCTGGGCAGGGAGTTGGACTAGAAGACTTCCAAGGTCCTTTCCAACTTTGTTATTCTATTTCTATTTCTATTTCTAACTCCCAGTTCACTAGAGGGAGAGAATATATGCAGCTCTCTTGTGATTGGGATTCCTAGATAATCCTGTTTTCCAAATTAACATATATTTTGCGAATGTCTCAAGGGATCTTTTATACCTGAATTAACTGAACTGAATGTGGGTGCAACTTTCTATATTCTCAGTAGGAAAGAACTATTCAGCAATGGCACTGCGTAGTGATAGGAAGGGGAAAAATGGAAAGATTTTGAAAAAGGACCTTGAATGAAATCAGGTTTTAGATCTAACCAAATAATTTGACAAACATGTACAATCAATGTGATAGTCTTTAAAACTGTCCCTTGATTTTTCTGTAATTCTACCTAGGCTTTTGTATATACATTTTCCAAAGCACTTCAGATGGAATATAAGTCAAAAGGAATTGTGATACAGGTAATTTACATTTCTTTTTTTGCTTTTTGCAATAAGCATCAAATCAATTGAATAGATTGCATGTTGGAGGTTATGGAAAGGTTTATCATGTTTTCTTTCCTCCTGCTTTTAAAAACTCCTTTTCTCTTCTTTATGTCTTCATAAAGAACATATATATATATATATATATTCCAATGAAGTATGAACATGTTACAGTTTACAACATCTTCTGGAATGTGAAACAGTGACTGTTATTTTTCTCCTTATTTCAGGCAGTGACTCCCTTTGCTGTTTCTACTCCAATGATCATGCATAAGCAACCCAATCTGATCACCAAAACAGCAGAAGAATTTGCACGAGAGTCACTGAGATATGTTACATTTGGTGATGAAACATTTGGATGTTTAGCCCATGAAATCTTGGTAATCCAGTTATGAATTTGAGTTAGGTTGCAAAAATAGAGTGCTTTCCTCTAACACAATGTTTCTCAACCATGTCAACTTGAAGATGTGTGGACTTCAAGACTGGTTGGGGAATTCTTGGAGTTGAAGTCCACAGCTCACTGTGGCTTTCAACTCTTCAAGATGACATGGTTGAGAAACACTATTCTGACAGCAGTTTTTGCTGTGTTAGTCTATGGTAGCCAAAAATTAGGAATCTGATAGCATTTTTCCCCAACTAATGCATTTTATTAAAAGGCTTAAGTTGATTATGATCACATCTGTTGAAGCAGGTTGTAAGTCATGAAAACTCATGCCTTTTAATTAAAAAATTGTTAGTCTGAAAAACTGCAAAAAGTTCTTCTGAGTTTTAGCTAGCAGTATATGAGACACTGATGCTCTAATTTAATTTTAGCTTCAGTAATTCACACTCCAAAACTAGTCTTCTTAGAAAGACTAGTTGCCTGCCCATATATTATACAACTTTATATGGCCATGCAAATACCACATTGAATTTTTGAGATTTGTGAAGAATCCTATCACAGACTTAAAATTAACTCTTGCCTCTTATATCTGTTTTTTTTTTAATCTGAAAATTAAATTGGCTGTAAAATAGCTGAGAGCCATGTATGGTGCAAAGACTTGGGGTTGTACATTGAGAATACTTTAGATAATAGATTTTGTATTATGCCATAATGAAGAAAACTTTAGATCTTTTTGGTGCTTCACCGAATCCACATTGATTATCAATTTGCATCTGAATGTTTATAACACTATAATGATGAAGGATCTCTAGTTTACATCACATGCCTTACATGTAGAAAATTCCAGGTTCTTTGTAACCAGACAATTCCTGGCATTTTTGGTTAAAGAAAGATCTTGGATCTATTAGTGATAGACAAAACTGTTTCTTGATACCTTCCATACATAACCAGCATAATTGTTGATGTGCTGCTTGGATGTTATGGCAAAGGGAATCAAAAACATCTGGATGGCACAATGTTATTTGAATATCTATTGTACTTAGAACATACCAGAAAGACAACTGTTAGAAGCTTGCTGAGAGGTGAGCTGAATCATAAATGTGCAGCAACAACACAAGCTTTCCAGTGTATTGTTAAAGATATTTTCACTGCCAGGGAAAGATGTTAAATATACCAGAGTAACATGGCTGCATTTGGGTGCCATGCATGACAATGCCTGTGATGGGAGATTTGAACCTCTGCCTCGGCCCCCAAAATGCCTTTAGCTTAGTCTTGCTATTGTGCACCAAATTTTATGTTGTTCTAATTTATAAAAGTGTGAGATCATATGTGGAATTAATTAATCTTCATTTTGTTTCTCTCTCTCTTTCTTCTTTTGATAAAGGCACGATTTGTACAGTGTATTCCTTTTTGGTTGCTCCAGAACAACAAAGTACAAGAAACTGTGATATGCCTTATGACGGAGCATTCCAAAAGATAACATTTTATCCACTTCGTGAGCCTGCTTGAGGATCTGGTATGAATTATAGCAGCAGTCAGCTTGATTAATTGCAAGATTTTGAAACATGCATGAAAACAGCCCTTCAGTATCTTTTTTTTTTTAATCATGTACTCATTTCTGTTTTGTTTATCCATTTTATTGCTTCCATTATTTGCTGATGCATATTTTTAAGCACTGTTATTTCCAACCATGATTTATACACTTGATTTTATTTTCACAATGGCTTTAGCGGGAAATAATTGTATAGAATTATTTTAGGAAAAAGTTCAGTGTGTTAGGTATGAACAAGAGCAAATGGAGATATGACTATTTAGTATGTATTGCATCTGCAAATCAAAGTTGACTATCATATATTTTTAGTCAATTATTTGATTTTGTTTGTATGTAAATAAAGTGATTTAACCTAAAGGATAAATGATAGATGGGAATCACTTTAGAAGAAATGAAGATATGTTTTTAAATATAATTCTCTCTCTCTCTCCCTGTCTCTATCTCTCTCATCCATCTATTTCTATTTTTTTGATCCACCTACATTTTCTATAGCTTAATAAATGCTGATTATAAGCCACTTGTTTTCTCTTTTGCTTCTGTATCTTTATTTTTCTTCTGAAATCCAAACAACCAGCTCACAGAGTGATAATTAGAATAGCTATGTACTGATAATATCCATACCTGTTGAGAAAGAATTAGCATTAGGTATTTATTTTTATCAATGTCTATTTTTGAGTTGATTCGTTCTTGAACACATACAGTTGTCTTCAGCTGTAGCTTGGTTGAATTACAGAAATTTCAACCAAGAAACAGCTGAAGACAGCTGCTAGAGTTCAGAATGAATCAACCCAAAAACAGACCTTGATAAAAAAAAGATATTCACCAGATAATATATGGTTATAATTCACTAGGTTGATAGGATTGGAAAACTTGTTAAGGAACTGGGAATGTTCAAGGTCTCTCTCATTTCTTTTTTACACTGCCAACACACTTAAATCACTTACCACATTTTTTCATTAATTGGTGTGTTATTGTAATCCTGACAAGTGAAGATGTAAGGGAATGTTTACATACACAGCGTGTTAGATACAATGAAGGTCAAAGTAACTACTTTAAAGATGTAGCTGGCCCCTCCATTCTTCTCTTTCTCCTCCTCTGAGCAAACATCAGGGAAACCAGTATTTTTCAGTAAATGGTCAATACTTATTTGGGGCCACAAAATCAGTACTCTGTACTGGGTTCTTTGATAAAAGATATGTTCAGGCAACTAAATCCTTTCTTGGCAAGATATTTACAAGATTTGTACATACGTGATAAAACCACATCATGAAAACAGATGGTAAAGTCAATGCTGATTGAGGCTACACTAGGGAACAACATTAGTTCTCATCTGTGAGTTTCAGTGTAAATAAAACTGTCTTACTTTTCAGTAATGGAAAAAAGAAATAGCTACTAATAATGTCTTTAATTTTAATTAAACTGTAGTTAATACTGTGATGCAAAAGAATTCCATAGTCAATGGACAATAAACAGTTGTGCCCTAGTCTGTTTAATAGCAAATATCCAATACTTACTGTAACAAATTAAGAAACTACCAAGGAAGCCAACCTTCATGGCTGGAGAAGATTTCAATTGGAGTCTCCCCACTTCTAGTCCAATACTTTAAGTATTGTGAATAATTTTGTATTGGTATGTGTTTTAGTTCTGGCTGTGCACCGCCCTGAGTCCACTAGGAGAAGGGCGGGATACAAATTGAATAAAATAAAATAAAATAAAATAAAATAAAATAAAATAAAATAAAATAAAATAAATAAATAAATAAATAAATAAATAAATAAATAAATAAATAAATAATGTGAATTACCAGTTTATTTGCTGAGCCAGGAACACGGGGAAAATGCAGAGATTTTAGTCAGTACTCTTGATACAGTATTTTCTACACGTGATTATTATATACTTATGAAAAACAGCATAAGGAATTTATCTTGCATTATAGCTCATCTGTGCTACTAAATTATTTTCTTTCTCAGAAAATTGTTGATTGAGCTCAATACATAACCATTAATTACATTTTAGAGTTTTTAAACATGAATAATTTTCACTTACAAAGCTTTCTGGTTGGGCTGGCTTAATAGGGACATCAGTACATTCAGAATATTTACACTGTCATATACCAATAGACATGCAAGTATTTAAGCAAAGAGACAAGGACATATATAACAATTTATATGAGTTCTATAACTCAAAGTCTCAGGTCTCAATCCACTATTGCAAGGGACTCATCTCAGCATGTTGGTAGGCTTTTCTGAAGAACGTGACTTGAAGATTGCTGCCCTAAATAAGTCTGAGTTTTTACAGCAATCACAGCAGCAAACCCATCAATAAAAAAAAAATTACAGTGGATGATAATAATGATGCTGACAATGATGATGACAATGACCACAACAATAACAGTATATAGAATAGAAATAGAATAGAAATAGAAATAGAATAGAATAGAATAGAATAGAATAGAATAGAATAGAATAGAATAGAACAGAATTTATTGGCCAAGTGTGATTGGTCACACAAGGAATTTGTCTTGGTGCATATGCTCTCAGTGTACATAAGAAGAAAAGATACATTCGTCAAGAATTATAAGGCACAACACTTAATGATAGTCATAGGGTACAAATAAGCAATCAAATCATATTAGCAAACAGTGAATATAAATCGTAAGGATACAAGCAACAAGGTTACAGTCATACAGTCATAAGTGGGAGGAGATGATAGGAACAATGAGAAGATTAATAGTAGCGCAGACTTAGTAAATAGTTTGACAGTGTTGATGGAATTATTTGTTCAGCAGAGTGAGGCGTTCGGGGAAAAACTGTTTTTGTGTCTAGTTGTTCTGGTGTGCAGTGCTCTATGGCATTATTTTGAGGGTAGGAGTTGAAACAGTTTATGTCCAGGATCTGAGCGGTCTATAAATATTTTCACAGCTCTTTTTGACTTGTGTAGTATACAAGTCCTCAATGGAAGGCAGGTTAGTAGTAATTGTTTTTTCTGCAGTACTAATTATCCTCTGTAGTCTGTGTCTGTCTTGTTATATATATTCATACATAATACAGACAAATGTACATATCACTGTCTCCTGTGGCCACCTTATTGTGCTGTCATGACATTACTTGCACAAGAGTTTGGTCCTTGATGGTGGAACAATGCATGTATTTTTTGAAATATCCTTCTTAAAAGTAACAGCAGGACTAACAAGACAGGCAGTCTACCATTTCACATGAAAATTGGATACATTTGGCCCAGGTTCCTTGCCAAATATGATAACAAATAACAAAATAATGAAAAAATGCAGTTTGATCTTTTCTGACATTCGCCTAAAATCTTCGTATCACTTGACCTTGTTAGTGAAAAGGAATGTAGAACCAGAAAGCTTTATCATCATATGAAAATAATGCCACGGTTATTGTATTTTAATCTTCTTTAACCGGTTGCCCTCCAGATACGTTGAACTAAAGAGCTGCCATTGTTCTCTTTTGCCGTGTTGCCTGAAAGATGTAATCTTGCAAGCCTATTTTTCTATTCTCAGAGATGTACTGCTCCTGGATTTAATAAGTCCAAAGATTGGCTCTTAATACAAAATCGTCACAACCGTAATCATAATATATTCTTCATTTCTGTAGACCTTCCATGGGCATCTCCAAGGTTTCCAAACATTATTACCACATTGTGATATTTTAAAAATGTTGAAAGAGGGAGAATTTATTAAATACTGAAGTATAATCCAATTAAATGTAAACCCAATCAAGCATACTTTTTAATCTGACTCCACAGTTTAATTTTTATACTGCAGCTACTGGGATGCCCCTCAAAGTTCAGTTTAAACCAGGAAAAGATGCCACTTCTGTTTTGGAAAATATCTGAGGTCCACTAGTTAATTAATGACTCAACTAAGGATTTCACTCTTGGCTTTCCAGCCTATAACCACATCTACTTCCTACCTTATCTCCATCCCACCTCCAGGTTACTATCTGATAATTATTCAGTGATTTCCATGGCTAAGCAAATAAGCGAAATTCCCCCTTGTTTTGGTTCAATATTTGGATCACTAACTCGCTCTTTCATAGTATGCCAATGTATTTGACTTTATAATGTAACCCAAATATTTTTTTAATATTTTAACATATAAAACTCACCCATTCTCCTAATTTCATTTAATGCTACCCATAACTGAGAGATGTTGATCAGTTGAACTCCATGTGAACTTTAGAGTCATATAGAGTTTTTATATAGAACAGGGACATCAAACTCGATTTCATGGAGGGCCACATCAGAGTTGTGTTTGACCCCGGGGGGCTGGGGTGGGCGTGTCCAGGATGGGTGTGGCCAGTTTGACATCACTCGTGTCAGAGGTGCCTGTGGCCAGAGTGTTTTGCCAGCAAAAATGGGCTCCCAAGCTCCGTTTTCAGCTTTGACAACCTCCTGCAACCCTCTGGCAGTGAAAATGGAGCTGGGGGAGGGGGGCGCGCATGCATTTTTGCTGCCAGAGGCACCACAGGCCGGACCTTTGCTGTTTCCAGGGTGGCCTCATGGGCCAGATCTAAGCGCCCCGCAGTTCGGATCCAGCCCACTAACCTTGAGTATGACACCCCTGATCTAGATGGTCTCTCTAGCCCCAGTTCATGGATGTCCAATAGGTTGAATGATAACACAAATGGATTGGGAGAGCTATTTTTCCTTGAGCTTTTAGACTGAGGGGGTAAAGGAATTAGAGCTGACTTTGGGAACAGGGGAGAAATGAGCAACTTCGCCCATTCATGGGAGGGAAGTATGAGAAAGAACTTGAAACTATCCCATTTTAATTTTGTTTAGTCCAAAATGAGGCAAGAGAAACTTGGACAGGTTTTCAAAATTTTTGAAGATCTTATTGTAACAGACATATGTAGAATTATTGCTATCCTTGCCTCTTGATCTAATCTAATTTAAAGGGCTAATAGGCATAGGCCTTTCCTTTGTTTTTTAAATTATGTAAAGCCAATTTTATGCCTACTATTTCTGTCTGCTGGGATGGGTGGAACTTATCACTAATTCAGCAACTTTGTTCGACAAACGTTTTGAATGATACAAAAATTTCCGGTTTTCTCAGTGGTTGCTTTTTCCCATTTACATAAAGATACCACTGATAAGTTACATTATTACACAAACAAATGTAATAAAACTATTATACAAATCAATTTTTCAGCCATTACTTGCAAAATCTGCTTACATTCTCAGTACTTTTATGTGTTTTGTGTACTTCTTTGAATCAGCATTTTTTTAAAAAACTGTGAATGCAAATTAACTTTTGTTGACTTAATAGACATAACCATGTTGTAACAGGTGAAGAGAGTATTTTCTGTGGGGTCTTGGGTGCTTTCTGAGCTTAGTTATTTTGTCGCAAACATTTCATTACCAACATCTAATGATGTTATCTTGTTTGGTAATGAAACATCTGCAAGAATTACTTATTTAATTATTCAATTTGTATGGCCACATATCTTACCTCAACAAGTGACTCTGGGCAACAAGCAATCTTAAAATGTA